AATGTGTCCTTGTTAAAGGGGTCATATGATGCAATTTCAATTTTTCCTTTCTCGTTGGAGTGTTACAAGCTCTTGGTGCATAAAGAAGATCTGTAAAGTTGCAAAGGCTAAAGTCTCAAATCCAAAGAGATATTCTTTATAAAAGTTCAGAGTCAGCCACACCTACCTAAAACGGCTCGTTCTAACACGCCCCCACATATCTACCTCACTATGTGGGAAGATCTGCATAACGCCGCCCAAATGTTCACGCAAAGAAAGAAGGCGTAACTTTTAGTCTCACTGTAGTTTTGTTGACGCTGCAGCCATGTCGTGAAGACGCTGTGTGCGTCATCGTGAAAGCGAAACTACTTTGTTTGGTCTTCCAAAAGAGGACGATATCCGCTTCGTCATGCCTAGAGCTGATCTGTGCTGGTCGCTGAGGGAATACATCAACTTTCACCGTGGACGAAGCGGAATCCAGCCCGGGGTCCGTCACATGTGGTTGCCGCTCATTCGTCGGATCCGCCGGGCGCGCCGTTCTCGACCCCGCCGCCTCAGCTCACTCTAGCCCGGCCTCAGCTCACACTATCCCGGCCTCAGCGCACGCTAAGCCGGGGCTTCCCCTCAAGCTAGGCCGCTGTGTTTTTCGTTGTGAAAGCGAAACTCCTTTGTTTGGTCTTCCAAAAGAGGACACGACTACAAATCAGTGGTATTTACAATTTACACTGACGTGACATGTGGCCAAGTATGGTGACCCATACTCGGAATTAGTGCTCTGCATTTACCCATCCAACGTGCACACACACAGCAGTGAACACACACAAACCGTGAACACACACCCGGAGCAGTGGGCAGCCATTTCCTGCTGCGGCGCCCGTATTCATGAATATTTATACAATAACAACATCATATATCTGCCCCAAGGTAAGATAATTTCTGCACTGTCAATTATTTTCTCATCCAATTTTTCCACCTTAGAGAAAACGACCCTTGTATGCAAAACGTAATGATAAATATTTCAAATAGTAGTATCCTGTTGTTATATGACCTCAGTATATGCAGATAGTTTGCATGTTGTTAACCAATTTTATATAAATGTCTGAACTTTTGGCATTTCTTATCAAATATGTCAGAATAGATGTGTTAAAATCATAATTCTGGTTCATTTGTCACTCTGTAAAAGGTAGGTCAAGTCGAAGACGTTAGATTGCGAGATACAGTATTCCATAATGTTTGCTCTGCTCCAAACTGCAAACTGAGTCATCAGGGCGTTCCATGCATATGCATGCATGTATGAACATTTGTATACTATATGCCTGTGTACTTTTAACATAGTATGAGCAGTATGCCACAATAAGTAAAAATGTCTAAATCCAAGGGAACAGAGTAAGGGAGAGTAGAAACTGTGACGTGCACTGTTTGCAAAAATATAATTATAAACTGTCCCTGACTTTGCAGGGCAATTAGAGTCCAATTTGAATGCAAATGTCTTCATCATGCCCTTATGAAGATAATGATGGCTTCAGCATGCACACGCAATTCTCAAAACAACTCTGCTGGCACTGGGAAGGGCACATGCACACCCGTTTGGCTGCGTGCATCACACAAACCTCAAGGTGCACGCGTCTCTCTCTCTCTCTGTGTGTGTGTGTGTGTGTATATACCTACTTAACCATATTTTGGGGACAAATTTGTACCCAAAATTGAGCAAAACCTGACAAAATCGCCAAAAACCTCCATTTGGGGACGTCCTCATTTGTAAAACTGGCATAAAATAAAGTAAACAAAGTTTTTTTGAAATTGTAAAAATGCAGAAAGTTTTCTGTGAGGGGTAGGGGTGGGTTTAGGTTAAAAAGTGTATAACTATCTGTATACAAAAACAATAGAAGTCTATGTAATGTCCCCATTTAGATAGCTAAGTAAACATGTGTGTGTGTGTGTGTGTGGTGCGCAGCTGACAGGTCGGTTTTGTTCTTGTCTCGCTAGTAGTCTTGTAAAGTCGGTGCTCGAGAACAGCAGTTCCCCAGCAGTGGCCCACTGCGCACAGCCAGCTCAAACTCATTTACATCCTCTGCTTATTAAGCTCCGTGTGCTAATGAAGAGAGCGCCAATTAACGCCGATACATTTCACAATGTTAATTAAGCGGACATGGTTCATATAGAAACCATACACTTGCTTTCAGAAGGAATTCAACATGGGTAAAGGGTAGCTGGTAACTGGTTAGACGACATACATGTCAGGAGTGTGTTAGCTTGGTTGAATGAATGACTCGATGACTCACTCATTCAGTGATTTAGTACCAGCACAATAACACGCTCAGCAAAATATAGTCTAATTATCATTATCAACAACATTCCAGAAAATATAGAGATTTTTTGTCGTTATCACACACCCCTACTGTGCCCTTATGAAGATAATGATGGCTTCAGCATGCACACGCAATTCTCAAAACAACTCTGCTGGCACTGGGAAGGGCACATGCACACCCGTTTGGCTGCGTGCATCACACAAACCTCAAGGTGCACGCGTCTCTCTCTCTCTCTGTGTGTGTGTGTGTGTGTATATACCTACTTAACCATATTTTGGGGACAAATTTGTACCCAAAATTGAGCAAAACCTGACAAAATCGCCAAAAACCTCCATTTGGGGACGTCCTCATTTGTAAAACTGGCATAAAATAAAGTAAACAAAGTTTTTTTGAAATTGTAAAAATGCAGAAAGTTTTCTGTGAGGGGTAGGGGTGGGTTTAGGTTAAAAAGTGTATAACTATCTGTATACAAAAACAATAGAAGTCTATGTAATGTCCCCATTTAGATAGCTAAGTAAACATGTGTGTGTGTGTGTGTGTGGTGCGCAGCTGACAGGTCGGTTTTGTTCTTGTCTCGCTAGTAGTCTTGTAAAGTCGGTGCTCGAGAACAGCAGTTCCCCAGCAGTGGCCCACTGCGCACAGCCAGCTCAAACTCATTTACATCCTCTGCTTATTAAGCTCCGTGTGCTAATGAAGAGAGCGCCAATTAACGCCGATACATTTCACAATGTTAATTAAGCGGACATGGTTCATATAGAAACCATACACTTGCTTTCAGAAGGAATTCAACATGGGTAAAGGGTAGCTGGTAACTGGTTAGACGACATACATGTCAGGAGTGTGTTAGCTTGGTTGAATGAATGACTCGATGACTCACTCATTCAGTGATTTAGTACCAGCACAATAACACGCTCAGCAAAATATAGTCTAATTATCATTATCAACAACATTCCAGAAAATATAGAGATTTTTTGTCGTTATCACACACCCCTACTGAGATCATTTATTTTAATTTTCACCAAAATATTTTAAACTCTTTTTTCCCCCCCATTTCATTTCATGGACTATTTTTTATTTCTTAATAAAAAGTCAAAAAGTGTCTTCATTTATTCTTTATTAAATAACCTTTTGACTGATATGATCTGGCCATCATATTAAAACATCACATTAAAGAAAAAAATATATAGTTCTGACATTTTCTGTTGGGTCCACGTTTTTTTTTAAATATAAAATGTATATTATATTGCAAAATTGTTATTAATTAGGGTTTAAACTTTGTTTTAGCATTAATCCAATTTAGGCCTGAAGGAAACACAATAATGGTGTTGTTCACCTACAGTAGTACCTCTGCTTAAGTGTATCAACCGTATGGTCTCTCTGACTTGCTCTCTGTCTCTCTTCTATTTGTCCGGCTTCTTGAACGCCACTTTCACTTTGCAGATTACTTTAATTGTAATTGCTCTCTACCTTTGGGCTTGAGTCTTGCAGGATGATGAAAGACGTTGCGTTTTATGTCAGGTCTACTTCTTCTATTGCTTTCAAACTCATTTACTACTACAACATGCCCAGATGATTAGCGAGACAAGGAACTGTTTGATTTATACCTCCTGACAGACCTGTTGCAAGAGAGACCCAGACCATGTCATTTTTATTAAGTTTCATGTCAAACGTTTATTCTAAAACTATCAGTCACCATAAGAGAAAAGACACAAACCAGGGCCAAATCTGTCTTTAGACAAATGCTTTTCTGCTGTTCAGTCCTGAATTATGTTCCAGTGACACCATCTTTATTCATTCTCTAAATGTAGCCATTAATTATGATATTTTTTAATTTAGTTATTTCTAAGGTTGATTACAAAAGCAGCAACATCCAGATAGTTATCTGTGTAGATTTATTGTAAGTTATTTCAGGAAAACATACAAGGAAACTAAATGTAATATCATTGTAAACTTAATTGTACAGTGTTTTTTTTTTTTTTTTACAAAATGTTTTTGTATTATTATTATTATTATTATTTGACACTGTCACACATTTAAAAAATGTTATTATTAAATATTATAATTTCATTATATATAACTCATAAATATGAAAGATAGAATTTATTGTTTTAATGTTTAATAATAGATTTATAATAATAATAGATTTAAATGTATTCATGTATATTCTTCTTCTTCTTCTTCTTCTTATTATTATTCAATATTATATTAGTATTATATATTACTCTCTCACAAAAACACTTTTGCTAACACTTTTGCTTAAAAAAAAAATCACAAAAGAAAATCTAAATTTCACCAACTGTTTCACTTTAGAGTCAAACCATTTCTTGTAGTTTTAAGATATAAATGTAATTTAGAATGAGGGCTTTTTGTCATTTCACATGGTGCCATGCTTTAAGTTAAAAATAAACATCGTGTTAAAAGCAGCTGAAAGAAGTGATTTCAACTGGTGAAGCTCCGTTTTTGGCCATCTGAGGTCGCTATTTCCCTTCCAACCGAACTCGTGTTTTGCCTCACAGAGAAACACTGAAAAGTTTTTGTTTTGAATAACAGTGCATGCTGTAAGGAGAGCCTGTCTGTGATTGGTTGGCGATTTTCGGTGTGCAGACTCTTATTGGTCCATAGGTTTTAAAGGGGGTTTCGGGGGGCGTCCGTCTCTCCCAAGCTCATCTCTGCGCTCCGCGTCCGTGGCAGCATCCACTCACTCTTTTACTACTGCCTGCGATGTGACTCCACGCCGCTCGCTCGTTCGCTGGAATATCACCCTGCGTGACAAGTGACGGATTTTACGCGCACGCCACGCAGTCCGGTTTTCCAAAATCAAGAGGACACCGCGGCAGCGGCCAATGCCTTTTACCATGACTGTGGGATTAATAACGATTTTGTGTGCTGTAACGGCCGTTTTCGCAATGGAAGGTAAATATGTGGATGTTTGTCTCTGTGGAATGTTACGCTTCAGGTTTGACAGGTGAATGTCTCGTAGCGGAGATTTGCGTTGGGATTTATTCGCGATGACTAAATTGAGTATGGAAAAAGATATTTTTGGCATCCAACGGAGTTGGGACGGAGTTTCTGTGGTGGTTTGACAGACGCGGGGATGGTCGTGGTGCTGAATGTTGCGGAATGAATGAGAGGATTTAAGATGGTTGGATTACTTAAACCCTGCTGGATTTTATGATAACTGTGGTTAAGAACATAGTAGCGGGTCATTTTATGATCAACCAGCTAACATTAATCCGCTTAAACTGGTATGTTGCTTGGCCAAGATGGTCTTCTAGACTGGACCAGCTAAAAACCAGCTAATGACCATCTTGGACTGGCTAATGTTCAATTAGGACAAGAGAAACCAGCCTGGCCACCTTAAGCTGGTTCAAAATAGTCTACCAGCTAGTAACATCATTTATGTGTGGGTAAAGGATTCTTGGTAATCTTTAAGACAGATGTTTTGTGCTGAATGATCTGAAAGGCTTAGAAGTGTAATTTTTGTTTTCTTGACAGTTTAAGTGCTTTCTTAGAGAGAAAAAAAGGTTATTTTCTGGCAATATAGAAACTGGCTGGTTTTAGTGTGATTTTGGGCAGTAAAAATGACCTATACACTGACTTTTTTTTAAATGCAGTTTACTCTTAGATGCTTTAAAAAAGCTTGAAACAAATATGTATCATCCATATTCAGGATGGTTTTTATTTGCGTTGTGAAAAATCTATGATTTACTTGCACAAAAGATGTTAGGAAGACTGACAGCTTCAGTCACCATTACTTTCATTGCATTTTTCTTCCATATAATGAAAGTGAATGGTGACTGTCATTCTGCCTAACGTAGCCTTTTGTGTTCCACTGAAGAAAGTCAAACCGGTTTGGAATGATATGAGGGTGAATAAATAAAGGCAGAATTTCATTTTAGGTGAACTATCTCTTTAATTGACAAACCCATATAGGACTAGTAATACCTGCGTCCTGTTCAGAAACGTTTGTGTGAACACAAAACCACCGATGAAGACCACCGGTGTCATATTGTATTCAGGTCACGTCAGTGCATGATTTATTCTGAAAAATCAAGCAGAAACACAGCAAGAATGAGAGGGGGAAAAAATCTCCCTCCTTGTCTGGCATTTGACAGATGGTGGTTGACTGGTTGTTGCGGCCATGCCAGAAATCAGACGTTCAGTTCGGCATTCTATGTGTGTGTGTGTGTGTGTGTGTGTGTGTATAGAGACTGGTCTCCAGATCAGTAATGAACACACAGCCAACATGAAAGGATTGTCTATTTGTTTCCATCTCCACTGCCTGTCCAATTCCATCCATCACACAACCTGTTTGCTTGTCTTTCTGTCTGAAAACACTCATACAGGTATTGAGTAAGTCTCAGTCAGCGCTAAATGATGTCTGTCTGCGCAAGCGCTAATGTGTCTGATTTAGATTCCAGCCATACAGAACAGACAAAAGCATTGCTGAAATTAATTTAGGAGAGTTTTTTCGCCCCGTGTTCAAGTTGAAGTGTGTCTGAAGGCAGCAGATGGAGGGAACAGGGTTAGTGACCCCTTCTTTAGTGGCTAATTGACAGGCAATTGGCCTTTGTTGTTTGAAGTGTATTTGCTGTGGTAGGTTTGTGTGTATTAGCCTGTCCTTGAGCCTATATCAGGCAGATCATATTGGCTACTAATTGCCAAACCAGCCCGGTGACCACAAACAATGTATCAAAGCCATGTGCACCTCTGAGAAGGTGACAGAGCAGATGAAAGAGATGGGGGAGGGAGACGAAAAGCAAAACTGTGTGTGCGTGTGAGGAAGATGAGGGTCTGGGAGACCATCTGGCTTAGTGGAAAGTGGAGTGACTCCGCTTTGACACGTTTCCATGCGTCAGTGAGCACAGTTCATCAGTCGTGCCTAATAATCATAAATCTGATGAATTATGAATGCACACATATGTCATTGCGCTTGTGAAACACTACTAATGCATAAATCTGTCTAGGTTAGATGATGTTAGATGGTTATACAATTGTCAGTCTGTGGTTTAGGGAACGGATGTTTATTACATCTTTGCTGTTGTTTTTAGCACGGCAAGAGTATTATTAGTATTTCTAATATAATGAATAACTATATAGAATTATATAATATTTATATAATTTATTCATTTTAGATTTTTTTGAATATATAAATAAAAAAATTAAATAAACACTACATAACAGCATAACAAATGTATAATATTAATATTATTTATAATAATAGTAATATTATGTATGTATGTATGTTTGTTTGTTTATATTTCTTTATTAGGCATGGGCCGTTATGAGATTTTGACGGTATGATAACCTTAAGCAAAAATTTCACGGTATCACGGTATTGTCGTTACAGCTCTCAAATGTGTTATTTTTAAATGACTGGATAAAAAAATAAAATGAAACATTTTCCGCTGAACACAACATACATTTTGAGCAACATACAGAATATTAGGAACAGTAGAATTTGTTTATTTTTTTCTTTGATTTGTTTCCTAAAAAGAAGAAATTGCATTGCAACGCAGTTTGTGAAAGTCCAGAACAGAGACGAGTTGCTTGCAATAAGACAAAAAACTGCCGGTTGCCGATCGCGTAAGTTCCAGGGCCATCCTACACACACGTGACTGACCGCTCGCTCACACCAACAGGAGGAGGAGGTCGTGTTACTCTCTACACTGCACTCAACCTAAGGGATTCCTACACTTTCAGTCTTTGAGGAGACATGAAAAACAGCGCATACCGCAGGAACGGTATAACGGA